ATCTTAAAAAAGGCAGCGGCGTATTTTGCAAAAGAAATGAAGTAAAATACGCTTGGATCCAAAAACATCAAGGAACTCTTAATGTTAGCCAAGCTTGTAAAGTGTTAAAAGTTGTGCGTTCTAACGCCAACTCGGCTTAATCCGATGGGCATATTAAATTATTTAAAGTGATTTTAGGCTTATTAGCAAATAGCTGATAGCCAGTAATAACTGAAATTATGTATACTACAAAATTGGCAATACTCCGATGTCTAGTATGACAAAGCTGCAAGCGGTTCTTTAACAAGTTAAAAACTGACTCAATGATGGAGCGTTTCTTCAACATAATAACGTCAAAAAGCTCAGCAGGCATTAATCTCGATTTCATATTGTTTCGGGCTGTAGTTATAAGAGTCACGCCCATAGCCGCAAGTTGTGCCGCTAATGTTTTACTCAAATAACCTTTGTCAGCAAAGAGTTTGCCTTTAAATCCATTGATTAACTTTACAACTGGGACTCTGTCATCAACATTGCCTTTAGTAATTGACATACCAGTTAAGTTGCCTGAAGTATTGCAAGTAATATGCAGCTTAAAGCCAAAAAACCACCCCATAGTGGACTTGCCTATTTCCGCTACTCCACTAAAAACTTTATTGCTACGAATTCGTTTATTGTGACATACGCCTATTTTGGTGCTATCTATATATTCAATACCAATGGAGTTACGGCGGTTCAAGTAAGTTAAGTAATTGAATAGCCTTAATAAGACGAGTAAGCTATTTGGCATTAGCTCGGTAAATCGGTTATAACTTGGTAACTGCCTAAAATAACAGCGGTATTCAGTTAAGACTTTATTGTCATAATACCATTTGAAGCAAGCAAAACCTGACTCTTGAAATAATAAAATAATCCAGACTATCTCACTGGTTGAAAGCATCCCAGTTCTAACCCGAGTAATTTGCTTTTTATTTTTCAGAATTTTTAGGTATCTAGGCATAAACGCCTTGCAAAAATCGTCGATAATAACATATAATTCTACTAAATCCATCATTGCTCCGTCAGTTGTAACTTGTTTTGTGAGAAACTCATTTTAACAACTATAAGTGTAATGGTGGATTTTTTATATCTTTAATTCCTTAGAACCTGTTTAGAATCTTCTTAAAATTAATGTTACAAAAGCTAAGATCACCATATGCAAACTTGTATTCATAAGCCTCTCGCAATTTTTCCACAACCTACGACACTTTTCTAAGCAACTAAATGAACGTTCTACTATCCAGCGCTTTGGCAGGACTACAAAGCTATGTAACTCATTTCTTTTAACAACCTCAACTGTTGCGCTCAATAGCTCATTTACCGTTTCAGCAAATTTTTCACCACGATATCCACCGTCTGCCAATACGTTTTGTACTTCAGCTAAATTATCTTTAGCTGTTTCAAACATTAGCTCCGCACCTGCTCTATCAGTTACATTAGCTGTAGTTATACAAATGGCATGCGGTAATCCTTGGGTGTCTACTGCTATATGGCGTTTTATCCCCGAGACTTTTTTACCTGCATCGTAACCTTTATTTTCTGCAGTATCGGTATTTTTCACACTTTGAGCATCAATTATACAGAAACTAGTCATTTCTTTTCTGCCATTTTTTGTACGTATTAAGCCTACCAATTTTTTTTAAGACTGCTTCCAACACACTGCCTGTATTAGATTTTGGGTTCTCGTTCCATATCTTAAAATAAAAATATACTGACTGCCACTTAGGAAAGTCACTTGGTAGCATACGCCATTGGCAACCGCTTTTTAATACATAATATACACCACAAAATACGTCATAAAGCTCAATCTTACGTGGTTTGGTTTTCTTACGAGCTGACTCCAAGTCTGGTAATATTAATTCAAACTGTTCTTTACTTATATCACTTGGGTAACTTTTACGCATGCTTAACTCTATCAAAAATTTCAACATGCCGTAGTTTAATACTTTTTGTCAATTAATTCCAAACAGCTTCTAATAATCTGCTTTATATTGATGAAACAGGAGTAGACAATAACATGTCTAAACTTCGTGGCTGGGCAGAGAAAGGTTGTAAGTCTTTTACTGAAGCATTGGGGTTTAGAACCAAACGAATCACTCTTATTGGTGGTTATTGCTATGGAACCAAGGAGCTAATTGCTCCGATGGAATATGACGGTTATACGAATACTGAGGTATTTTTGTCTTGGGTTGAGCATTGTTTATGCAAATAATTAAAATCAAATCAGATAGTAATAATGAGTTTGCCAATAAACAAACTCATATTAATGGTATAGAAAACTTTTAGAGCTATGCCAAGATGAGACTTGTAAAATTCAGAGGGTTAACAAAAGGATACTTTTTATTTACAT